AGAGAGAGAGAGAGAGAGAGAGAGAGAGAGAGAGAGAGAGAGAGAGAGAGAGAGAACTTCCACTCTCCACCAAGCACCTCGTTTGCTCTGGACATAAGGACGCGAAAAGCCCTGATCCAGACGAAGCGATTCTCTCCTACCGAGAGAACACCTCCGCAGCCGCGCAGCCTGGGCCCAACGAAGCTCAGAAGAACCCCTCAGAAGAACCCCTCAGAAGAACCCCTCAGAAGAACCCCCCCCCCCTCAATCACCACGGTCGCATCGTACCGTAAGGCGAAATAGATTGTGGGCGGAGTTAGAGAGAGTTCATTTGTGTTTATTTTATCTTGTTTGTGTGCTTAAAGTACTGTTCATTTTGATAAGGTGGTGTATGCTTTATGATCATTAGCAGCAGTATTCCCTTTACACAGCAGCAGTTATAACACAGTTATAATGATTCTGATCATAGATATTCAAATGTCGTTTAATAATAATAATAAAACTGCGTTAACGTGATAATAACGCGTTAACTTACCCAGCACTAATATTTATATATAATAAGATGGGCAACCATATAATAACCGTGGCTCACTGGCTTAAGAGGGTTGTCTGGTAACCGCAGGGTCAACGGTTCGATCCTCGACTGTCACGTGTCGTAGTGTCCCTGAGCAAGACACTGAACCCCCGGGCGCCTGTCATTGGCAGCCCACTGCTCCCTATATACAGGGATGGGTCAAATGCAGAAGTCAAATTTCGTGTTTATGTATATGACAATAAAAAAACAAAACAAAGGGTTGCTATATGAACACTTGTTTTATGTTACCGGGATATCATTTGTGATAAAAGAGGAGAAGATAGCACAAAGTAAAGAAACATGAAAGGAACACATTAAAACAAACTAGAACAACAAAAATCACTTTTACAGCCTTGAAAAACATTTTACAGTTCAGTAAAGAGCTGAAATGAGATGAAGAGTTTCTGTAGGCCAACAGGAAGTCATCATAACTGGTTCCCTCAGCCAATCAGATTCTTCCATTAGATTCTAGATTATTACATAAATAATCTGTGTGTCAAACAAATGTTGATGATTCTTCCAGGCTGAGCTAACGTTAGTCTATAAAGGAACCGCCAAAAAAAAAAGGGTTAATCACCGTGTAGCCCCGCCCTAAAGCATCCCCTGCTTTATGGTCT